GGCAACAACTAGAACTTGAACTGATACATGGTTGGAGTACTCATCTGCATCCTTGCCCTGTGGTGAGATCATTTGAAGTGGGAAATAAGGTGAAAAAAATCGCTGCCCTAAGATACAGAATACCTTAAGGTACTTAACATCATTGCTACTCAAGCTTATTGCTACTGATTCTTTTGGGAGTAGCTTCAGTTTCCCTTCTGTGGTGCCAATTTCCTTGTCCAGGTTAAAATAATCCTCAAGTGACCCACCCCAAAGACTTCACTACAACCTGAACAAAACACCAATCACTGGCTGGTGGAAGAATACAGACTGCTGTATTTCAGCTACTGTACTCAAAAGTGGCTACAAATTAGCCCAAGCCACAGCCGACTTTGGTTAACACTACATGACTTCAAACAACAGCCAACAATACTTCAACGAAACAATAGGTCAGAGCAACAGAACAGTTTCTTTGACCCAGGATAACTGACAATAAAAACCATAGATATTCCCTGCCAAGTAAATATATCCGATTTCCATACATTTTACAGCTGAAGAATTAAATAGAAGTTCAAGAAAAAAAAGCAGGCAGTGTTAACCTCTCTGTATCAACCTAGGAGTAGAGCTACCACAAAGCAAGGAGTCCTGCAGTCTGTCCATTCATGAATCACTGCTCACCATAACAAGTCACTACTGTCAGCAACAGTGGACAAAAGGGCATCAATGAAAGTAAAACGAGAAAGAAAACTCTTGTCAACAAATTGTGAGGGTATTTTATTTCAAAACCTGTCAAGTGCTGCACAGAAAAGAAAATGAACTTTGTAGAAATTATTACACTGATAGCTGAAGTGGTAATAGAGAAGGAAAGTCTATATAAATTCCAAACCTAAAGCATTACCTGTGTGGTGCCACACTATTTTTAAACACTGAGGAGAAGGTCCAGGCAGTTGCAAGGGAAAGAGAGCTGGAACTGAAATAGGACAGGTAGGTAGGTTTTTCATAGCTTAGGAATTTACATATTGCCAGATTGGGGCAGTCCAAAATCCTTCTAGTGTGGTATTTCTGTCTTTCAAAACAGTTTTAATTCAGGTTCTCTAAAAAAGAAAAGATGCACCATACCCTCCTAAAGGAGGGTTTCATTTCAGCAGGCTGTGCATGAGCATATCTCCACTAAATATTAAAAAAAGAAAAAAAAAGAAAAAAGAAAAAAAAGAAAAGGAATTAATGAAGCCATGCCAAAAGATTCAGAAAAAAAAAAATGGTAACAGGCTCGGGACATGTTGCAAATAATGTTTTAATGGCTCTCTTTGGAGTATAAATGCTTATTTGTTTCTAAGGAAAGTATTGCATTGTTATTTTTTAAAAAAAATCCTAGAAACTTGGGTACAAAAATTTGGAAAAGTAGCAAGGAAAAATCCCACCATCTAGCTGTTCATGCTCTGTTCAGTTCTTGTTACTCTTAACGCAAAGTCAGAGCACAGCAAGCACTGCACCAGCGCGCGAGACGGGCAGTTGGCACTCTCAGAGTGGTGCCTGGGCTCGCACTGCAGGACAGCTGGCACAACCACAAGAAAGGTTGACTATGTGATAGCTTGCAACATTATTTATTTTTGAAAGAATGTGAGCTATCCTTCCTATTCCCATAAGAACAGAGTTAAGACGCTCCTTGAACTCTTAAACCATGGTTATACTCTGAAGAGAAACTACGTAAAAATATCCTCATGGATTCTGTCATGGCTTTTAATGATTCTTTAAGAAACGGGCATTCTTGATCAACAGCATAAAAGCTGGCATCGGAAGCTTACTGATCTTTTCACACACTACTGGCATTAATAAGAATCCTGCATACCAAAGTCTATTCTCAGTCAAATCTTCGCAATCTCACTGGTTTTATGATTTGGCTTGAAAAAGAGGAAGAAAACACAAAGGAAATCTGGGAGCTAGGTGAACTCTTCATGGTCCAACTCTGTCCCAGAGTAGCGCAGTGGTGACGTAGGTAGTGGTGGACTCGGCAGTCTTAGGCTTACGGCTGGACTCAATGACCTTAAGGGTCTTTTCCAAAATAAATGATTCTATGATTCCATTAGCAATTCCAATTAGACTAGTTAGCATACATTTAGAAGGAAATTGTTCAGTAAGAAGGAGAAAGAAGTGCTATGATATGATTCTACAGTGCACAGTGAAAAGTTCAGAAATACATAAAACCCATTTCAGTAATTTTTCTATGTGAGCACAAGTGAGAAATTAAAAGAAAATGCTTGTATATGGAAAAAATATTCAGTTTTGCTAATACTTATGTGGCATATACTTATGATGAGCAGCCAAATCTTATACAAAGAAATAGAATTAGAAAGAACATTATACACGAAGTGGAATATCAGTACCAATATCAAAGATGACAAAAATGAAATTTTAGTTTATGTCACTGGACTTCTCTGAGGACACAATACCAAAGCCATACAGAACAGAGGGAAGGGGATTGTATTTTTCCAGGCACAAGATCAATGATTTTAAGGGCTGGAGCAATCACTGCAGTTTCCTTTGATGTGCCAAAATAAGTATTGTGCTGTTGACTTCTACTGAAGCAGAATCACCCTTTAGTTCTTGGCAGTCATCAGCTTCCTAGGAACATAAATCCTATGGTTCCATTCCTCCGTGATTTTCTCAACCAACCTGTCTGGGCCATCATGAATCTTCATGGTTCTAAGTGTAATATTCAAATCCGTGCCCTTTCTCCCTTATATAGCCCAATGTTGAAGGCTTAATAGCTCCATACTCCAAAGCATAGTTTCTCATGTGGTCTAACCCACCTACTGCCTATGATTCTGCTGGCTTTCATGGCCCTAAGACAATTTACATATGATATAAGGAGGATGCCCTAAGTGAAATTTATTCCAGGTTGACAGACTATGACACAGGTGAAGAGGACTTAATAGAAGATTGTGAAAGCAAGGATGATGAGAGTAGATGAGGGCTTTAAAGAAGAAAACTCTTATACAGAATGTCAAGCTCCTCACTTTCATGGATGTGGTACTACTCCATGACAAATTCCAGACTCCAGCCAGCAAACACATCGAAGGGATGACACTGAAGAAAAATTCTAGTCAGTAGAAGCGTGAAAGCAAACCAGAGGCTATCACTCCATGAGTTTCTATAATACTCAAGCACAAAAATAACGTCAACAGCTCTCCATTGAGATCTGTGGTCTTCTAACACTATTAAATGTCTCCAGATGCGATACGTGTCATAGTTGCCTCCTGTGAGATACAGTCCCACCCACGCTGCCATATAATGCCATCACATTTCTGTTAGATAGTTTAAGATGAGTAGGTTCCTCTGAGGCTGTTCATTTCCTCCTGCCAAGAGATTTGGTTTATACCTGAAAAGCCACTGGTAGCTGTTGGGTTCTACAATGCAAATATGAGTTTGGGCTCTTCACTGATGCTAAGGAGGTGATGGCAGCACAAATAAAATGTAAATCCTACCTCCTTAATGAAGAAAGGTAAAGTTTAGCTTCATCCAGTAAACAGTAATAGCTGGAGCTGAGGACTATGCCAAAATCCTGCCATTAAGTGCATACAAGCCAGTAAATAAATGTGCTTATCTGTTAATAGTATTTGAAAGTGCATTAATTCATTTGAAAGGATCCTCATGATTTCTCACTCAGTAAATGGAGTAAAAGCAAAATAAGAACAATTCTGATCCGCAAGGAGAAAGAAAACATTATAGTTAGACAACGGAAGTTATTCCAAGTCAAACTGAAGTGTTTCTGGACATTAGAGACATCTGGGAAGCATATGTACAGGAAACAGCTCAGCCTGAGAGAGTTGTATGTTACTGAAATTACAGAGGTAAGGAAACATTATATTAACCCTGAGTTTTGAACCTTTCGATCTTGTATACTTCTGCAGTTAAACAGATAATTTCAATGTAAAGGTACAATGTAACTTTAAGAGGATACGCAGAGTTTCAGATATTTAAAATAATTATTAATGTTTATCAGATTTCAGAAAGATGCCTAGTTTTCAAGTTTTAGACAACCCAAAACTGCCAAGAGACACTCCACAGTCAGCAACTCCAAAAGATGAGAATGCAGATCATTCTCTTTAAACTACCCCAGTACTGGTTCATGATTCCCACTGGACTACGGCATGGCTAACAAAATGGAAGTAATTTGAACTCATAACTAATTATGTACATTAACAAAGTGCTTTACAATGGACATGGCATGTTATCAGTCTTATTGTTCATTCCCTGACCAACAAAAGATCAATTTCCTACGACTACTAGTCTTTCAAAAAATATTTCATTCATATACATTTTTACATTACAGTGAAGTTAGCTAAACATGACATTCCCTTAAGGCTACTTAAGAAAACATATAATTATAATGAATATGATTATTAAAATAAATAGCAACAATATCTATTTTAGACACCTGATGCAAACCTCAGCATGTTTCAATAAATCTTTTTTTATGATCAGAATATGGGAGTTGCAGATATCCTTGGTTTTAGGCAAATCTGACCTGACAGAACAACTTCTGATGTGGCATAAGAGATAAAATGTGAAATTATCTACACCAAATATTCAGAGCTTATGTTAAGGAAGGACCTAAAATAACTGGATTGACCAAACTAATTTTCATAATATATACGGGAAATAAAGACTGCTTGGCAGATAAAGAGATTTGCATTTTTTCTGAGTGAGTTAGTCCATAATCCCCGCAATATAAAGCCATAAAAGGGATTTCAAATATACTTCTAAAACCTATTCCAAGATAAAAACCAATAGATTCACTTTCAATTTTGTAGTAATGTATTTCAATATTTTTCAATCCTTTTTTCTCAAGTTATCTTTAAACCTCAAGGATTCTCAAACTGCTGTTTGTGCTCAGCCATAATCTCTGAAGCCATTGCTGATGCTGCAGAAATTTAAAAACTTAAAATCCAACCAAAACAAAAATCAGAATTGCTATTTTTTAACACCTGTAGAGTACCACATGACAGCATCCAAGAATAGCAAAGTTAGAGAACCAATTTCTTCTTTCAGTTAAGCATTTCTCTACAAGTTTTGACTGAATCAGTTACACACACCCCCAAAGCAATTTTTACTATATATCAGAGCCTTCTCTAAACTTCAGGGGAGCCTAATCATGATACCAACACATTTTGGTCTTGCCTGTGTAAAAATAAGTCAAGCCACATTCTTTTCCATAGCATGAAATTATGAGATCTTTACAGAGAATAACACCTCCACTGACACAGGCAAAACAATCAATTGTACTGTAAGTATGTACTTGGAAGCAGCAAGCAATGTGGTGTAGGCAGTAGGTGTAGGTTCTTACCTACTCCTGCTCTCCTTTAAAGATGCAGTTTAAACTCCCAATAGCAGAATATTATCAATCAACAATAATTTCCAACTAAAGGGCCACTAATCTGGGAAAGATGAAAAAAGACATTTAGACATGCTTCTTGGACATGTCCATTGACAAGCAAAATAAAAACTGGGACAAATAAAACACCAAAGTTTACTTAAGCAGCATATTTTATATGTAAGCCATATTTAGAAACTGAAAAAAAGAAAAGAAGACGAGGTTTAAACATAACCACATTGCTTTAGTTATTTACATAAGAAAAATGAAAATGTGGAGAGTTATATCCATAACAGACTGCTCTTAAGGTGAAGATATTGGTGTCAAAATGTGGATTATATTTGTATTTGTAGCAGACAGAATGGGTAAGCAATCATTAACTTGTCAAACAACAGATAAAAGGTGGTGCTGCAGTCCAAAGTAGGTCATCTTCCACCTTATTCAGATGATTTTCAGACTTTTTCATCATCACTCATGTCCCAGATCTGCAACAAAAAAGGAAGCGTATTTTTAGCTTGCAGAGTTCAAATATGCTTTTAATATATCTTTATGAAATTATTATTACTTTTTAAAAAAGAAGAATAATTAACATTTTGTGGAATGTTGACTAGCACCAACGGAGCTTTGCATAAAATTCAGTATTTATCTCTTCTTTTAACAACCTACACACCATTCAATATTTGTAATCTTGGGGATATTTTTTTAACATATACTTTTCAGCATTTGTCCCTGAACTATGAGTTTGGTTATTTGTTGTTTATTATCATTTACAGTGAGCTGTAGACCCAAACGCAGACACTTTGTTTTGGTTTGCTGACTCATTGGCACATCTTTAGTGTAGAGAATAACTTACAATAAATAGTATACACTGCAGAAAATTTTAAAGACATTCATGAAGAATACACCAATACTTCATTTTGTACTCAAATATTAGATCTCATAAATAGCAGCCTAAAGATGAGAAATTATATGGAAATTTGTACTTTCCTATTTTTTAAAGAAATTTTAGGACTACACGGATTTTCTTCTGCAGTACAATATAACTGTAATTTTACTTTGCTACCTGGCCTTGTTCAGTAAGCAGTTATGGATTGGGAGAAAAAAGTGAGCATTTCCACAGAACATCGAGGTATCTGGTATCCTTGTGAACATACTAAGGCGAGCGTTATAAATTTGTATCAGTTACCAGGGAGTAGAATGCATGATGTGAGGAAAAATAGAGGGACCTGCAAGGAGAACTACTGAGGGAGGACAGGGACGACCACATTCTGAATATTCTTCCAGACAAATGAGGGTGCTCCTAAAAGACTTTTTATTATGTTCTTTGAGGTTTAGCTCATGGCAAATACCCTCCTTCCACTTGGCAGGGCTTGCAGGAGCTTGGGATCAGGATTAACATGGGTAGTTGGATTTAATATCATAATATCGATTCATCTCTGACTTAGAGCATTTCAAATTTGCCTAAATGAGCAGCAGTACTCCTGGAGTACCATGACAAGTTTTTTTGATTACAAGAGCAAAAATGCCATTTATACGGCATACAGCACTCAAAACTGTGTCCCTCCAATGACTTAATAAAAAAGGAGCAGCATCAGTCCTCTGTCCCCGTGGAAAAGGAAATCCAGTTCTTTTGTTCCAAAAGTTATTATGTGCGTTGGCATAAAGTGGCCCACTAAGTTATTCTCTCATTTTACACCCTGACCACTAAAATATATCCAAAGAAATACAGAACACAAACAGTTATTTAGACTGTAAATTCTTCAGGGCACAAAGCAGTATTTTACACGTATACAAGGTCTAGTACAATGGGGCAGTGTTCACAGCTGCATTGTTTAGCCTTAGACAAATAAAAAATACAAACAACCCCATTTCTTGACAGGCACCAATGAATATTGACCTATAGCTTTAATAAACCCCTTCAAGACAAAATGCAGTATTTCTGGAATTTGAAAACATTCTGAAAAAAGCTCTTCAAATCCAACCTCAGAAAACATAGAAAAGAAAACATTTCTATGCAGTGCTACAAGCTGTGTAAAATGAAAACTCTGAATGGCAAAATTTTCTCAATTCCTAGAAGTGTTGCAAAATGGTGGTGTAAATCTTTATGGAAAATACTGAAGGAACAGTTTGTTTACAAAAGGGAAAAAGAGTTTTCGTCCTGCCCTAGATGAGCAGCTTGGAGCTTGCCAAGGCAAACACAAATGTCCAGCTCATCAGTCAGGGTCAAGGATGTGGAAAATAAATACAAAAAACAAAATCTTTAAATAGAGTTTATGGTATGATTCAAGCTGGCAAAAAGCAAGAAATCCAAAGTTTAGACTGATAGTCCATCTTTGTCTAGTCCACTCTTGTGTTTGAAAACAAAGCCCATAGATTGGAACCCTTACAAACACACCTCTCTGTCAAGGCAGCACAATAAATACTTTTTAAAAATACACTATGAGGTGATTCAAAGGCAAAAGTGAAAGAAGCCAACCGACAGCCCTAAAAAAAGTTCTCTTTATCTACTTAACAGATATACTGGGAGCGTAGCCAGCTTCTCTGCTCTGTGCTTTCCCATCATCCGTTCGGATCTGAGCAGTGTGGGTGAGAAGGCAAGTACACTCTCCGTTTTGTTTGTTTGTTTTTTACAGAGAAAGGCTGTTAAGGGTGCCAGTTACATCAGTCATTCTGTGATATGAAAATACTTCTATCCAGGAACTGGCTAGCTGTTCCGTAATTCCTGTAAAGCTTGGAGAGCCTTTTTGCCTTACACATCTGAAGTGTGATGCTTGCATTACTCTAACACCCCATACAATACAAACAGCAGCTCCAACGGCACTGTAATTTCTTTCTGTTGAAACTAAAGAAAGCAGTTCCCTGTATTTGGCCTTAACAGTCGAGGACAGGCAACCCACAGAGGGCCTCAAGTAACTTGAAGACTAACAGTGCAAGCACATCGCAGAGCCAGCAGCAGCGCCTACTAGGCTGTTTGGGAAATCAAGTGCTGTAAACGAGAGCATGAAAGCGAAGAGAAATGAAAGTCAATTAAATTCTCTCCTATCTAAAGCACAGCTCTTTTCTAGGAGGCTCTTAACATAAAAATATTTGCAAAAAGACTGAAACTGAGGTTCACACGTATTTAACCACTGTACAAACATCCCGGACTGAGGAGAATTTTTTAAAAATGTTTAAAAAGTATGCTATTATTTTACTTCCAGAACACACAGTTTTATAAGACAGTTTACACTTCACCTAACTACCAGAGCAGTCACAACCATAAAATCACAGAATGGTTTGGGTTGGAAGGGACCTTAAAGCTCATCCAGTCCCACCCCCTGCCCTGGGCAGGGACACCTTCCACCAGCCCAGGTTGCCCAAAGCCCCGTCCAACCTGGCCTTGAACCCTTCCAGGGAAGGGGCATGACATGGTGTGTTGAATTATACTAAAGTTTATAAAGAACAAAGTAGTAATACCTTAATATACATGCAGAGGGGAGAGGAGAACATGAAACAAAATGAGAAAATTCAATAAAAAAGTTAACATGCATGTTAACCTGAAGAAACCAAGCTACATGACATTGTGCAAAAGTTGTGGTGTTAAATGTCAATAGTAACAACTAAATTATAATACATCATAGGGTCTTAGTTCAGAGCAATACACATTTTCATGAACTGACATTTAAACTACATAGACTACGAGTATGCAAACTTTGGCTATTACTTCAAAAGAGTGAAACTTTTAAGAGGAGAAATCCTGAAATACAGAAAGCCATGAAAGACAATGTCTGTAAGACTGTCACAACAAGAATCTGATATCCAAATCAAGCTGTGAATTTGGATTTTGTTTTCACTTCTCTTCTGTCCTGCAGAACACCTGGGTGAGTCAAACCTAAATGCAGCTACAGGCAATGACAGAAGAAGTCATAAAATAGGAAGATAATAAAACAGCTGTCAAAACCAACCCAGTCTGTACAAATCCGGACAGATTATCTGAATGCACCTGTTTCTTCAAATAGGTGCTTTTATATTCAAACTTCTTTGTAGAGATTCTTAAATTTCAAATGCAAATTATGTCTATTCGGGATAAGAGTAGAATTCCCACACTTGTTTTCTTGAAATGACTAGTATTATTTTCTTACATAATAGGAATAATAGAGAAAAAAAGTCCTGTGTATTAACTTAACTGTTCACAAGTTCCCACTGATTGGTTTTACAGTTCCAGATTGCATGTTCAATAAATCCTACTGAACAGAGAGTATTGCATTTCCTTCATACAACAACAACATCACCTGGTACCTGAAATTTAATTCCACGACAATGGCTCCAAAATTGGTGTTCACCTACTGAAACAGGTAGTGGCTTTGCATCCTAGAATTAACATATGTAATTCAAATACATAACTACTGTTTATCTTATAAATAAACTTTCAAGAATATAAATGTACCCTTGAGGGATTCTTAAACTTGCCAGCATGGATCTAGCAGGATTTGCCTCAGAAATGGCTACCTCATTAAGAGAGACAAAACAAACAAACAAACAACCCCCACAGATACTATTTTCTACACACAACTGAGATAAATTTACATACACATGTACCAAAACACTCTGCTTAGAAAAACCTGGAATAGTTTTATCATGCAAACCACAGTATTTACTATGTTATAAATGCTCCAAATATGGTGAAGCGTAAGTAAAGAGTAAAATTCTACAGGCAGAGGCAAGGGCTGAAACTTAGGTTACATACATCAAACAGCACAGCTGAGTATCACATGAGAACACACAGCTTCCCAGATCAACTAAGGCCTATCATATCTTGGTCTTTGATGTAGAAATGTACACTTACTCAGGAAATTTAAATAAACAAAAAAAACCCAACCCATTCAAGCATATGTTTGAATTTAAAGCAACTAAATAGCTATAAAATGTGAGGGTTTTGATAGATATTAGGTTAAACATGTTCTATGCTCTACCAGAGAGACAATACATCAGAACTTTTGGCAGGCTAAATTACTTCACAGGCTATGTGTGTATGTGTGTCTAAATGTGATAGAAATGAGCTAGACAGAGCAGGCTGCATCAACGTGCCTTGTAGGTCTTGTTCAGTGTTATTCTTGGTCCACTAGCTGTGTCTTTCAGGAATGGCAAAGAAATGAAATTGCAACTTGAAATTCATTAAATGCCTGCGAGTTCTAACACGCACCTTTTTCAGACTTCGTGGTATAGACTGAGGGATAATTATAAAGTTCAGCACCCTCCTTTCATCTTGGATACCTGATGCACAGTAAGCACTACCCTTCATCTTAGTGAAACTGAAAACACTTCAAGCATTTTGCATATTCAACAATTCCTTCCCCATCCCCCTTTCCCACAGGAAAAAAAAAAAGCCATAAATGAACAACCAACATAAAGAGTATTCTACACTAAGGTGAGCATTTAGCTTTGTTCAGAATTTATATCCAGATGCATGTCAGAGCCTGCATAGTGCACTCTCCGGTGAAGTATT